TCTTCTTCTCAGATTTTTTATCGGTAAAACAATCCAGCCAATTTGCCCATCATCATTGCCAGGGAAAATCGTCCAATTGTCAAAATTGGCCTCGGAATTTCCCAACATGACCAATAAAAAAAAAATGTGCAAAAAGAGGGAAAACGGCCTATCAGAGCAATTAACCCACTAATGGTGCAAAAATTGGAAAAAAAACATTTTTTTGCCGCCTGAAAAATCGGTAGACTTTGACCCGTCTATGGCCAGCATTACTCATTCTTTTACCTGCCAGGTTCCATCATTTCCTGGGGAGGGGAGTGACAATGCAGCAAAGTGGCTACTGAAATTCCAGCAGGGTTGTCACCCCCCTCCCCACAGCCAGGGCCTATATGAAGCACTGCCACTGCTGGTGCCCGCATTAGTACACACTGGGCGTTTTTAAACGCTGCTCTTAGGGGAGCGCTGGCGGTTTTTGTTTGTTTTTTTCTGCCTCTGATCTCTGCATGTTAACGTTAGGCTCCATTTACGTGCCTTTGATGACTTTGATGCGACATTTTGAGCGACTTTGACCCGACTTTACATTCTCTGATCAGAGTGCATCAAAAGTAGTGCAGACCGTTGCTTTAAGTCAAAATTTGGAAGTGCAAAAGAATGGGCTGCGACTTGCCATGCGACTTGATGTCCTTGTGGTCTTTGAAGTCTTTGACCCGACTTTACAATCTCTGGATCAGAGTCGTCAAAAGTGGGCACCAAAGTGGAAAGGTGCCATGAAAAGAATGGGCTACAACTTGTCATACGACGTTTGATGCCCTTGTGTCTATGATAAATGTGATGCGACTTCTGGAGTGATTTTGACCCGACGTTACGGTCTCTGGATCAGAGTCGCATTCAAAAGTAGTGCAGGCACCATTTTAAAGTAGCTGTGACTTTAAATTGCACCAATTTGGAAGGGTGCCATTGAAAAGAATGGGCTGCGACTTGTCATACCACTTTGATGCCTTTGTGTCTTTGATGACTTTGATGTGACTTTTGGAGTGGCTTTAACCTGACTTTACATTCACTGGATCAGAGTCGCAGCAAAAGTAGTGCAGGCACCGTTTCAAAGAAACTGCAACTTTACCTTCTCTGGATCAGAGTCGCATCAAAAGTGGCACCAAAGTGGAAGGGAGCCATTGAAAAGAATGGGTGCGACTTGTCATGCGACTTCGATGTACTTGTGTCTTTGATGTGACTTTTTTGAGCGACTTTGACCCGACTTTACATTCTCTGGATCAGAGTTGCATCAAAAGTAGTGCACCAAAGTAGTAGCTTTTCGCAAAATTTGAAGGGTGCAACTTTAAAAGAATGGGCTGCAACTTTCATGCCCTTGTGTCTATGATGACTTTGATGCAAATTTTTGGGGCGACTTTGACCTGACTTTGCAATCTCTGGATCAGAGTCGCATCAAAAGTGGCATAAAAAGTAGTGCAGGCACTGTTTCAAAGAAGCTGCGACTTTAAGTCGCATGCAACTTTTGAAGGGTGCCATTGTGAATGGGCTGCGATTGTCATGACACTTTGAAGCCCTTGACTTCTGATGCAAATTTTTGTGACTTTGACCCGACTTTACATTCTCTAGATCCAGAGTCGCAGCAAAAGTGGTTCAGGAACCGTTTGCAGGCATTAGCTGTCTAAGAAGTGCGACCAATTGGGAGTCATGAAAAAATGGGCTGCGACTTTGATGTACTATGTGTCTTTGATGCGACTTATGGAGTGACTTTGACCCGACTTTACATTCTCTGGATCAGAGTCACAGCAAAAATGGCACCAAAGTAGTGCAGGCACCGTTTCAAAGTAGCTGTGACTTTAAGTTGCACAAATTTGGATGGGTGCCATTGAAAAGAATGGGCTGCGACTTGTCATGCCACTTCAATGTCCTTGTGTCTTTGATGACTTTGATGTGACTTGTTGAGCGACTTTGACCCGACTTTACAATCTCTGGATCAGAGTCGCATCAACAATAGTGCAGGCACCGTTTCAAAGTAGCTGTGACTGTAATATATATATATATATATATACGTGATTGTGCAGGTCTGGGTAGGGGGTGCGATTGTGCCCTACCCATGCCGCCATTCACGGCCTTGGCTGTCAATCATCGGGTCCCGGGCGGTGATTCCCTCCGACACCCAGCAATCTCCAAGGATCTCCGACGGGGGAGAGACCTCAATGTAAACAACACAGATCTCTCCCCTGTCAGCTTCTGCACACTGCTTTGTATGTCGCTGCACAGCACAGCAATACAAAGCAGTGTGCTTATAGTGAAACACAAGCACACAGTTAACCCTTTGATCACCCCACATGTTAACCCCTTCCTGCCCAGTGCCATTAGTACAGTGTCAGTGCTTTTTATTAGCACTGTATTGGTGTCACTGGGGATGTCAATGACATCAAGTCAGTCTCCCAGTATCCCCCCCCCCCCGCTGATCGTGTCAGAATGCCCACCTCAGTCCCGCTATAAGTCGCTGATCGCCGCCATTACTAGTAAATTTTTTTTTTAAAAGACAGTATCTATACCGCCATTTGTAAACGCTATAAGTTTCACGTAAACCAATGAATTTACATGTATTGGGAATCCCGCTATAAGTCGCTGATCGCCGTCATTACTAATATATATATATAAAACAATTCCAGTATCTATACCGCCATTTGTAAACGCTATAACTTTCACGTAAACCAATTAATTTCCATGTATTGGGAGTCCCGCCATAAGTCGCTGATCGCCTCCATTACTAGTAAAAAAATTTTTAAAAAAAACAGTATTTATACCGCCATTTGTAAACGCTATAACTTTCACGTAAACCAATGAATATACACGTATTGGGAGTCCCGCTATAAGTCGCTGATCGCCGCCATTACTAGTTATATATATATATATATATAAAACAATTCCAGTATTTATACCGCCATTTGTAGACGCTATAACTTTCACGTAAACCAATTAATTTCCCTGTATTGGGAATCCCGCTATAAGTCGCTGATCGCCGCCATTACTAGTAAATATATATTATAAAATATAAAACAATTCCAGTATATATACCGACATTTGTAGACGCTATAACTTTCACGTAAACCAAATTAATTTCCATGTATTGGGAGTCCCGCTATAAGTCGCTGATCGCCGCCATTACTAATATATATTATATATATATATATAAACAATTCCAGTATCTATACCGCCATTTGTAAACGCTATAATTTTTCACGTAAACCAATGAATTTACATGTATTGGGAGTCCCGCTATAAGTCGCTGATCACCGCCATTACTAGTAAAAATTTTTATTTTAAAAAATTCCAGTATATATATACTGCCATTTGTAAACGCTATAACTTTCACGTAAACCAATTAATTTACACGTATTGGGAGTCCCGCTATAAGTCGCTGATCACCGCCATTACTAGTATTTAAATATATATATTATATATAAAAACAATTCCAGTATCTATACCGCCATTTATAGATAACGCTATAATTTTCACGTAAACCAATTTGAATTTACATGTATTGGGAATCCCACTATAAGTCGCTGATCGCCGCCATTACTAGTATATATATAATATATTATATAAAAACATTTCCAGTATATATACCATTTGTAGACGCCATTTGTAAACGCTATAAGTTTTGGGGACGTAAACCAATTAATTTCCATTTATTGGGAATGCCGCTATAAGTCGCTGTATCGCCGCCATTACTAATATATATATATAATAACCAAAATTCCAGTATCTATACCGCCCATTTGTAGATGCTATACTTTTCACGTAAACCAATTAATTTACATGTATTTACAGTCCTGCCATAAGTCGCTGATCGCCGCCATTACTAGTAAACATTTTTATAAAAAAAAAACAATTCCTGAGTATCAGTATATATACCGGTACCATTTGTAAACGCTATAACTTTCACTTAAACCAATGAATACGCTATACACGTATTGGGAGTCCCGCTATAAGTCGCTGATCACCGCCATTACTAGTAAATATTTAAATAAAAATAACCCCCAAAAAATTCAATGTATTTATACCGCCATTTGTAGACGCTATACTTTCACGTAAACCACTTAATTTCCATGTATTGGGAGTCCCGCCATAAGTCGCTGATCACCGCCATTACTAATATATATATATATATATATATATAACAATTCCAGTATCTATACCGCCATTTGTAAACGCTATAACTTTCACGTGAACCAATTAATTTACACGTATTGGGATTTTTTTTTTTTTTTTTAGCAAAGACATGGAGCAGAATACATTTTGACCGAAATTTATGCCGAATTTAGATTTATTTGCATTTTTTTTACTGGACATGTTTAATAGCAAAAAATTAAAAAATATTGTTTTTTTTTTCTCAACATTTTTTTTATAGTACAAAAAAAATAAAACCAAACAGGTGATCAAATACCACCAAATGAAAGCTCCATTTGTGGGGAAAAAAGGATGGAAATTTAATTTGGGTGCAGCGTTGCATAACCGCGTAATTGCCGGTTAAAAAGTAATGCAGCGCCATCAGGGGCGGACTGACAACTCATGAGGCCCCCGGGCAATAGGGGATCATGGGGCCCCTGCGTCCTCACCCACACCCAAAAAAGCCTATGAAAAAGCCAAAGAAAGGTACCAGGGGCATCTCATGGGGCCCCCTACTGACCCCTGGGGCCCTCGGGCAGTGCCCGAGTGTTCAAATGGTCAGTCCGCCCCTGAGCACCATATCACACAAACATGGCCTGGTCAGGAAGGGGGGGGTGAATCCTCTGGAGGGCAAGATGCGCGGTGCCGTACGCAATTTTTGCAAATCCGAAAGTCGTTGGTGTCATGGAAGCATCTGTATGTTTGTAATCATCATATCACTCAGTGGAGCTACCTCTATGTACAGGTTAGAGCCTACGCCGTGGCCAGGGGCGGACTGACCATTTGGAAACTCGAGCACTGCCCGAGGGGCCCGGGGTCAGTAGGGGGCCCCATGAGATGCCCCCTGGTACCTTTTTCATAGGCTTTTTTGAGTTTGGGCAAGGACACAGGGGCCCCATGATCCCTTATTGCCGGGGGGCCCCATGAGATTGTCAGTCCGCCCCTGGCCACGGCGACTCATACATTCCCCGCAATGTCCGTGCGTTCAGCTCTAGGCGACCTTGCTTGTCTTGTATGTATGACCTACTCTCTCCCAGACTTCATTTGATCAATTCTGCCGCTGGCTGTCTCCTCCCATTACGTCCCATAGGGAGCGTTCACTCTGCTCAGACCTACGCCGCGTCTTAATGGGAGTTAAGATTCCTGCGTCTAATTGGGGCCCTGAAAGCCCTTAATCGAATTGTAATCCACTCACAGGCGGCTCCTTTCCAATGGGAACGCGCCACGCTTTGACCGCCAGTCATTAGTCCTTAATGGTACAACACGAAGACGGTGGATGAGCACAGAGCTCTCCCTATCGGGATTTCCTTTCCAAAGAAGAAAGCAATTAATTGAGAGTGAATGGATAATAGATTGTTGCTCGGGCCGGATTCACTTTACAGTTCATTAACCCATTCAGGTCAAAAAGTCACCAAAGGGACCCCGCAAAAGAAAAATCTTTTGGGTCCCTACATGCAGCTACTGTCCAAATTCCTAACGCTTGTTCGGTATGGTGTTTTTTTACACCAACAATATTAATATTATTATTATATTATTATACAGGATTTATATTATTATTATTATTATTATTATTATTCAGGATTTATATTTATTATTATTATTATTATTATTATTATACAGGATTTATATTATTATTTATTATTATACAGGATTTATATTATTATTATTATTATTATTATTATACAGGATTTATATTATTATTATTATACAGGATTATATTATTATTATTCAGGAATTATTATTATTATACAGGATTTATATTTATTATTATTATTATTGTTATTATTATTATTAATATACAGGAAATATTGTTATTATTATTATTATTATACAGGATTTATATTTTTTTTATTATTATTTATATTATTATTATTATACAGGAATTATTATAATTATTATTATTATTATTATTATTATACAGGGTTATTTTTATTATTATTATTATTATTATACATGATTTATATTATTTTATTATTATTATTATTATTACATGATTTATTATTATTATTATTATTATTATTATTATTATACAGGATTTATATTACTATTATTATTATTATTATATTAGGATTTATATTATTATTGTTATTATTATTATTATTATTATTATTAATACAGGAAATATTTGTTATTATTGTTATTATTATTATTATTATTATACAGGATTTATAATATTATATTATTATTATTATTATTACTATACATGATTTATATTTATATTATTATTATTTATTATTATTATTATACAGGAATTATTATAATTATTATTATTATTATTATTATACATGATTTATATTTATTATTATTATTATTATTATTATATTATTATTATTATTATTATTATTATACATGATTTATATTATTATTATTATTGTTATTATTATTATTATTATTACAGGATTTATATTATTATTATTATTATTATTATACAGGATTTATGGCGCCAACAGTTTGCTCAGCACTTTACAATATAACGGGAGACAATACAGCAACAATACAGTTCAATACAAGAGGGATAGGAGGGCCCTGATCCTGGGAGCTTACAATCTAGGAGGGAGGGGCTAGGGGTACAAAAGGTAGTAACTGTGGGGGATTGGACTGGTAGGAAGAGTATTTATTTATTTCAGGTACTTATATAGTGCTGTCAATTTACACAGTGCTTTATATATATATTGTAAATTAACATCAGTCCCCGCCCCTGAGGAGCATACAATCTAAGGTCCCTAACTCACATTCATACATACACATACTAGGGCCAATTTAGACAGGAGCCAATTAACCTACCAGCATGTCTTTGGAGTGTGGGAGGAAACCCACGCAGGCACAGGGAGAAGGAGAACATGCAAACTCCAGGCAGGTGGTGCTGTGGCTGGGATACGAACCAACAACCCGAGTACTGCCAGGGGGAAGTGCTAACCATTTAGCCACTGTGCTGCCCAGTAGAAGATTCCATTTTAGCTGAGGGCAGGATAGGTTTCCCTGAAGAGATAGGTTTACAGAGATTGCCTAAAAGTGAGCAGAGTAGGCGATAGTCTGATAAATTGGGGTAGAGAGTGCCAGAGGATTAGGGGGAAGCTCTGGAGAAGTTCTGGAGACGAGCATGGGAGGAGGAGACAAGGGAGCTATAGAGCAGGAGGTCTTGTGAGGAGTAGAGAGGACGGTTTGGGTGATATCAAAACACTAACACTGACGTATAAAAAGCCGTTTATAACTCCGCCCCTAATTACATCACTGAGCTTGTCTCCAAATATCACCCAAACCGTCCTCTCCGCTCCTCGCACGACCTCCTGCTCTCTAGCTCTCTTGTCTCCTCCTCCCATGCTAATCTCCAGGATTTATTTCTCAAGGGCTTCACCCATCCTCTGGAACTCCCTACCCCAATCTATCAGACTATCGCCCACTGTGCTCACTTTTAGACGATCTCTGAAAACCTCTCTCTTCAGGGAAGCCTATCCTGCCCTCAGCTAATAATGGAATCTTCTATTCCTCCTACCAGTCCATCCCCCTCAGTTGTTACCTCTTGTACCACTAGCCCCTCCCTCCTAGATTGTAAGCTCCCAGGATCAGGGCCCTCCTAACCCTCTTGTATTGAACTGTATTGTTGCTGTATTGTCTCCAATATACAGTGGATATAAAAAGTCTTCACACCCCTGTTATAACGTCAGGTTTCTTTGATGTAAAAAATAAGAGACAAAGACAAATCATTTCAGAACTTTTTCCACCTTAAGTCTAGGTTCACACCTATGCAGGATGAGTTTGATGCGTTTTGCATCGCGTTTTGTGTTTTTGACACGTTTTTGCCGCATTTTTTTAAATTTGTATTTTTCTTGTTACTAGGCAGATTTTAAACGCATAAAAAAATGCAGCAAAAACTTACTACATGCTTTTACTGCAGCGTTCCCATTGACGTCTATAGAACCAAAAAAGTTCAAAAAAGTCCCTGACCCTTTCCAAAAAACGCACCAGGTGAAAACGTGCAGATGTGAACATGTCCCATAGGAAATCATGTTAAATGGATTGTACAGCGTTTCTACAAAGCGCAAAACGCTGTGAAAAATGCTTAGGTGTGAACCTGGGGCTAGGCTAGGTTCACACCTATGCAGGCTGCATTTGACGCGTTTCTGATTTGCGTTTTGTGTTGCATTTTGCATTTTTGCACCTGCATTTTTGACACTTTTTTGTCACGTTTTTAATGCATTTGCGTATTTTTTTTTTCTTATTGCTGTGAAGATTTGAAACTCAAAATGCGTTAAAAATGCGCCCAAAAAACGCTCCAAAAACACATTAAAAATGCAGCAAAAACTCACTACATGCTTTTCTGCAGCATTCCCATGGAAGTCTATAGAACCAAAAACGCAACTTTTTGCGTTCAAAAAAGTCCCTGACCCTTTCCAAAAAACTCTCCAGGTGAAAACGCGCAGATGTGAACCTGTCCCATAGAAAATCATGTTAAATCGCATCAAATGCAACCTGCATAGGTGTGAACGGAGCCTAACTGTAGGTTCACACCTATGCAGGTTGCTTTTGACGCTTTTCTGCATTCTATATTGTGTTGCGTTTTGCATTTTTGACACGTGTTTGGCACGTTTTTGATGCATTTTGCAGGGTTTTTTTTTTTTTCTTGTTGCTGGGAAGATTTGAAACTCAAAACGCATCAAAATGAGCCCAAAACGCTCCAAAAACCCATTAAAAATGCAGCAAAAATGCACTACATGCTTTTCTGCAATTGAAGTCTATTTTTGTGTTCAAAAAAGTCCCTGACCCTTTCCAAAAAAATTTCCAGGTGAAAACGCGGAGATGTGAACATGTCCCATGAACATGTCCCATGACAAATGGACTGTACTGCGTTTCTACAAAATGCAAAACGCTGCAGAAAATGCTTAGGTGTGAACCTGGGTTAGGCTAGGTTCACACCTATGCAGGTTACATTTGACGTGTTTGTCCATTGCGTGTTGCATTTTTGATGTGTTTTTTGAAGTGTTTTGTGTATTTTTCTTTTTTTTTTCATTTTTCTTTGTTGCTAGGCAGATTTGAGACTCGGAACGCATCAAAAAATGCATTAAAAATGCACCCAAAACACTCCAAAACACATTAAAAATGCAGCAAAAAACGCACTACATGCTTTTCTGCAGCGTTCCCATTGAAGTCTATAGAACCAAAAACGCAACTTTTTACGTTCAAAAAAGTCCCTGACCCTTTCCAAAAAAACACGCCAGGTGAAAAACGCGCAGATGTGAACCTTTCCCATAGGAAATCATGTTTAATGGATTGTATTGCGTTTCTACAAAATGCAAAACACTGCAGAAAATGCTTAGTGTAAACCTGGGGTTAGGCGAGGTTCACACCTATGCAGGTTGCATTTCTGCATTGCGTTTTGCATTTTTTGCATGTTTTGGCACGTTTTTGATGCGTTTTCTGTATTTTTTTTTTCTCTTATTGCTAGGCAGATTTTAAATGCAAAACGCGTAAAAAATGCAGCAAAAACTCACTACATGCTTTTCTGAAGCATTCCCATTGACGTCTATAGAACCAAAAACACAACTTTTTGCAATCAACCCTTTCCAAAAAACTCAGCGGGTGAAACGCGGAGATGTGAACGTGTCCCATAGGAAATCATGTTGAATGGATTTCTACAAAATGCAAAACTCTGTGGAAAATGCTCAGGTGTATTAGGTTGCAATTTGACGCGTTTCTACATTGCATGTTGTGTTGCGTTTTGCGCGATTTTGACACGTTTTTGGCGTGTTTTTGATACGTTTGGAAACCACGCATGTGCGTGTGTGTACAGTATGTATGTATATTTCTGTGTGTACAGTATGTATGTATATTTGTGCGTGTGTGTACAGTATGTATGTATATTTGTGTGTGTTTACGGTATGTATGTATATTTGTGCGTGTGTGTACAGTATGTATGTATGTATATT